TTTTTGTAATTTTTTATGAGGTTTACTTGACAATAGATGGCGGCCTGTTCCCAAAATTATTAGGAAAACTATAAAAATATTATTTTGGCGATTCAAATTTCTTTGTCTGAATGTATTTGCTTCATGAGATAGACGCTCCGATGCTATGGATGGCATCACATTTCATTTGTAAGTAATTTTACACCTAATTTATTTAAATAGTTCTAGAAAAATCTCTTTGCGTCGGCTTTCAAATATAATTAAATATATTCCACACTAGATGGCGACACTTTGTGTCCTGTGAACTAAAAATATAAAGGTACGTAGAGCTCAGTAATGATAAAATAATCATACGAAGGTGCTAAAATTTGTTTTGCATTCAGACATAAAGAAATTTTAATCGCCAAAATATTATTTTTTAGTTTATAACATTTTGTGGATATGCCGCCATCTACCGTCAAGGTAGCTAAGCTACATTGCAACATTGATATGGAAAGATTCGAGTAGTTTTACTATTTATCGGTAGATGGAGATAGTGTAGGGGGCGCGGCTTTGCATCCCCTCACCCCGCAAATTGTCACGCGTTGTTTCATAGTGAAATTGAATTACAACGTCTCCTCTTTGTATTTGCTTCATGGCGAGGACCAACTTCGCCCACGCTTAGCTACACCAATTAAACAAAAGAGTAACTTTCAATAAGTATTATTTTTAATCTATATTGATTAAAAAGTTTCTGTTTCTGTATGATTATGAATAACTAGCTGACCCGGCGAACTTCGTAGCGCCTAGCAGTCAATTCTTTAATTTTTTTTTAATACTTATTCTGCTATTCGGGACACCGGGTCAGCTAGTAAGATAAAAAAAAGAAAAAAGAAAGTTGATAAGTGAACAATTACATTATGTCAAAAAATAAAAATTGCTTTGCCTATCCGGAACCCCTCCACTAGCACTTAAAACTTTATGGTATGGTATTCAAGTTCAAATTGACGTTTAAGGGGCTACTCCATGCGAACGACGTTGAGCATTTCGCCGGCGGCGCGCCGCTCGCTTCATTTTCAACATCAATAAACTAATTTATGGAAATACACACAGCATACAACGATAAATGTATTTTAATTTTTTTATTCGGTATATTAGTTGCATTATATTAGAATTATGTATTTTCATATATTATCTAATTATGAAATTTTATAATTAATTATATATTAAAAATAAAGCATTGAAAATTGTGAGTTTAAAAGAAACCTATTCACTGTAGGTAAATAAATAGATAGCTCGCCTTTTGTACAAATATTTGGTGCAATAAAGAATAAATAAATAAATAGGATGTTTCGTAGATGTGTTTTTGATTATTGTTAATTTTTACGTGTCACGTATTGAAAAGTAGCATACCTACCTACCTACAAATTTTTGAACTGAGCACCTTGTAACTTAGCCTGCTTATTACTTATGCTGGCAGACATTATCCTCGCCCCAATGATTGATGAGGATGAAAATCAGTTTTATTTCTACATACGTAATTATATTTATTTATACATAAGGGTAACTTTAATAAAGGTAATACAAAAATCAACAAGAAGTATAAGGGTTCAATCTTTCAATTTCAATTGTAAAAAAACGTTACCTCCACACTAGGATTTTCTCCTGTGTCGTGGAGGCAGTTTACAAACATAAATTGCACAAGGACAAACATCCAGACCCGGAACAATTATTTGTAGGCCATACAAATACTTATAAAAAAGAATACAAAACAAGCAATAAATAATATACTATATTTTAGCAGAAAACTATAACTTAGTAATACTAATTATAACTTGGAACATAAATGAAAAACTCATAACTGACTTTTTGGCCCGACCCAGGATTCGAACTCGTGACCTCATGATCAGCAGTCGCACTACGACAACCACTAGACCAACGAGGCAGTACTATACCTAATAAGATATTGTGGTTGGCTGATAATATTGAATTAGCCTTTTATAGTGTAAATTATAATATTTGTCGAAATTTTAATTATGGATTACATGTTTACCTTACACCTTACATGCTAATGGTGCTTCATTTTTTTATTTGCATTTACTTCAAAGAAAATACACGCAAAAAGCTTCATCGCGCAGTAAAAAACACAACAAATATATGTATAACTAATACGAAAAATTATACCCAAAACAAACAAATAATACTACCTATAAATAACCTAATAAGTAATAATATTATCGACTGATATGACGTGGCGTATGCGCTGGTCGACGCTCTAACGACACGGGCTTCACGTCGAAGAGCTCAGGGCTCACTGACTTCAGCAAGCCCGTGGGCAGTGAATATGCCCAGATTTTAAAATAATTTCTTAATAAAATCAAATTTTGGTCTTTTGAAAAAAAATTTACTATAGAAATGTTCATTAATAAATTGCCTATCCATTGGTGTAAATCGCAAAATAAAATAATACTTACTTTACGAGGAGATGCATGTTATCAATAATAATTTCACATTTATGTGGTTTCGTTGTAAGGAGATTATATTAATATTTATTCCTTTAAAAAAAAATTGGATATAGCTTTTATGGAATCAAGATTATGTAGAAATATAATGTGATTTTTATTTGTTGATATATCTTTTAAATAAAAAGTAGATAGCTCCTAAAAATCGCACAAATAACGACTAGCGCGACATTTTGCTCTACCTGCGCTCTAAGTATTATTACGAATCTTTGTATGGGAATATAAAAAAGTGTTGTTTTTATGCTTTTTCAGGCAATTTTTTAAATTTTTCTCTCCGTAGGAACCATCTTCGTACTTCAAGGAATATTATAAAAAAAGAATTAGCGAAATCGGTTCAGCTGCTCTCGAGATTTGCGCTTAGCAACACATTCAGCGATTCATTTTTATATTATAGATATATACACGAGTCACGAACTCATCCGAACGACGCACGATAATCCACGAACACTGAGTTTCGGTGCCGCCGAAGATTCCGCAGATTTTTTGCCCAAACCGAAACTATTGCCGAAACCGAAACCGAATCTTCGGTCGGTCACTAAATATAATATACAACTACAGCACAAACATAATATAAACAAAAGAACCCCTTTGTCGTATCGCCTCAATTTCAAGGTACTCCCCTTGTTGCCTCAGCCAGTATCGGAATCCTCGGCGTCGGCATATCGAGTGACGTGCAGTTTCGTGGTCACTTGGAAGAGAAGGCCAAATTGGCCTCTAAAAAGCTCAGCGTGCTCAGCAGAGCGGGACAGCATTAATGCCTGCACAGCACCTGCAACTTTACAAGGCGCAGGTTCGGCCCCACATGGAATACTGTTCCCATCTCTGGGCTGGGGCTCCTCAGTGCCAGCTCGTTCCACTTGACCACATCTAGTGCAGAGCGGCTCGAATCGTCGACGACCGAATCCTTTCCGATCGGCTCGATTCACTGGTGCTGCAAAGAGATGTTGCATCCCTTTGCATTTTCTTTCGCATTTACCAAGGGGAGTGCTCTGAGGAATTGTTCGGATTAATGCCAGCCGCCAAATTTCAAGAACACACATCGCGGCAAAACTCCCGATACCATCCAGACAATCTGGATGCTTGGCGGTCCACCACTGTACGTTTTACTAGGAGTTTTCTTCGGCGTACAACCTCTCTATGGAATAGCTTCCCACCGGAGATTTTTCTGGGCCGATACGACTTCGGGACTTTCAAGAAAAGAACCTACCTACTCCTTTATTAAAAGGCCGGTAAGGCACCTGCGATTCCCTTAGTATTGCAGATGTTCACCAGTCGAAACTTACCATTAGGTGAGTCGCATGTTCGTATGCCCACATTTCTATAAAAAAAAACTACCTGTTCCCCGCGATTTGGTTTACGTGAAATTTATTGTGATATAGGATTTCATGGGTTTTAATTTGTTTATGCGGTTCTCGTGTATATTCTGTTATCTAGGTCGATCATTTAAATGGATCATTTCGGATTTCAGTACTTTGTGATGTGTGATACCCGCTCGGCAGCTCGGTTCTGTCGGTGGGCGGTCATGAGCGCAGGTTATTCGGTTTCGATCAAACACAAACAAATACCTAATTTTACCGTTTATTTAATTATTGTACATATAACAGCTAGTGTTCCCCGCGAATTCGCCCGCGCGTAATTTATTAAGATTGGATTTCATAGGTTTGAATTTTTTGCGCGGAACCCTAATTCTTTTTCTAAAATAAAAGTAACCTAAGTTACTTCTAATAGCACCAGCTATCTGCCAGTGAAAGTCCCGTCAAAATCGGTCCCGCCATTTTGGAGATTAGCCGGAATAAACTGACAGACAGACAAAAATTTAAAAAATTGTTTTATTTATACGTACCGTATAAACTTTCGTATGCATTTAGTAAAAAGTTGTTATTTTGACTTTACAAATAGACCCTTCAATTTTATTTATTTGTATAGATTATGCAGAATTACATGCTCAGAGTGCATTACTCATTGTTGGGAGTGAAAACTTAGTAGAAACTATTTCCATTAGCACTTTTTCTCATACTGTATACTAAGGAAACAATTGTTGTAAGTGCTGTTTACTAATTAAACTTTAAAAATTGGATTTTTTTTATAGAATAAGAGTGACAAACGAGCACACAATCTACCTGATGGTAAGTGAATGCTATGGCACATAGACATCAACATCGATCCTCAATTAAAAATCAAAATGCAGATGCATTGTCACCCTAGAGAACTAAGATGGAATGCCTCATTTCCAGTAAAAATGATCTGCGGTACTCTAAACTCACCACAGAAATACAGTAGCATAAAGATGCTATTTAACACTGATAATCTGATGTCCTACCCCAGTCCAACTGACCCATTCGTGCCACAACTATAATATAGCTGCACCGTGGCTCTACCACATAGAAAGTCTGCCAAAATACCCAGTGTATGTTGCAACAGTATGTCGGACTTACTCTATCTTTCAAAACTGCAAGACGGTCTGTGTCTGGCAAAGGAATGCATACGCTTTTACTGACAAAACAACATAAAAACACTTACCGCTACTAGACTTAATTACACTGCTCCTGTAGTCTTTATCAAATTTGCTTTCATTTTGAGGACTCTTAAAATTTGTTCGGAAGAAATTATCTGAAGAAGCAACTATATGCGTATTCTGTCCACTAGGCATCAAACATTCCCTCTCTTCATCCTTACACTTAAAGTTACCAATAAATTTACTTATAAACCCTGTTGGAGACGTCACTTCTCTGTCTTGAGGTTCTTTGTATGTGCTTTTCAATACATCATGTGATTTGAGAGCATTTTTCAATTCATTTACTACTTTTGAATGAGACAATGCCAATTCTGACAATATTGGAGGTGGGGATGTACATTTTAAGTCTTTAGATCCTCTGAGCTCACTCAAAATACACAAGTTCAATTGGCTTTTTGTCTGATACAGAAATGGTGCAGAATGTTCATCCCTATATGTACCATTGTCATCCTGTATGAGTTTTAAGCCATGTTCTCTTCCAAAGAAAGACATTAAATCATCTTTACGTACTGGTGGATCATTCAAATCAAACTCTAAAGAATCCAATAGAGCATATTTGAGTGCAATTTCAGGTTTAATTATCGATTCATTTATTATTTCATTCTGGAATTAAAAGAAAATATTTTATTTTAAAAAAATTATGAAATATACAGTGTAACCTGGTTAAGTGGCCATGGATATCTAAGAAACCTCTTTTATTGATAATTACAATAGGGTTCTGACATTTTTGCATTGAAATACCTCTGTTACCGGGAATTTTCAAACCTTGTTAACTGCGATTAGATTTCATAGATTTTTTATATTTTGGCATCGTAGCTCAATAACCAATATAAGTGAGACAATTTATCATATAAAAATATCCACCTCTTTATATGATAAATGGTACAATTTGACCTCTCATTGTGGGACCCTCTATAAATAAGTCAACTGTCATGTTAACCTGCCTATTTGGGAAACTGGGTAAATGAAAAGCCTCTATAAGTAATAAAAAATTCTAGGTACCTTGAGATTGCGGTTAGCCAGGTTTCACTGTATATAATAATTTCAACAATGAAAATCCTATTACATTCAAGAAATAGTTACGATTGGAAAAAACTAGAGATGAAACAAACAGTGGTTTAGCCGGATACCAGATACAGTATTCATAAGGCATCCTTGAATTCTATTAGAACATTATGTACTTTATTGTATAACTGCATAAGTACACTAGTACAAACTATAACTTACTAAACTTATACATGGACTATTGTCATTGAGGAGAAGGCGTTCAGTATCTTGTGACTTGGTGCCTTCTGTAACAGATTGAAGCACTGAACTCCAAATCAACTGAGTGCCAAACTTCTATGTTTAAATGTATGTTTATATGGTGAAAAGTAATACAAATATTAATGTTGACATGATAGGATGAACTCTGTTTTACTTAAATGGTGTTTGATAATAGAAGCATGTTGTGACTACACATTGTCTATTAAAATAAAGCATAGTGTTTGAATTCCAGCTTCAACAATAGAAGATTCTGAGTGCTGGGCAGCCAAAAGGAGCCATGAACTATGCTAGATAAGATAAAAAGGTTGTAAGACAAGTGACATGCTTTAATAAAGTATAAAACAAGCACATCAAGAATGTAGTTTTAGTAACATCTTTCTTAAAAAGGCAGGGTAATTTGTGATGACATAGATATAGAAAGATAAGATAACTAACGAAATAAAAGTGTAAAATCAGCAGATTTCAATTATGTGTTATGTGGTGAATCACCATGACCAGGAATTTAAAACAAGCTCAGAAGAAGCAATAGTATAGCAAAAATGATAACTCGGGATAAAATTACTAATGCCAGTATAAAGAAAAGTTTTCTTCATTTATTAAATATATTATTTTTTGTCACAATTTCATTTCTTGAGTAAAATTGAAAAATACCCAGATAGTTAATAGTTACTGGTTATAAGTTTCATCTCCAAAAAAATCACACGAAACATAAAAAAGAGCATATTTTTTTAAATTGCAAGGTAAAAAAGACATTAATTTTATTACAACATGCTGCAAGAATTTTTAAACAGAACTGTGACTCATTTCAGACAATTAAAATTCAATAAGACCTTAGACCAAATAATTAAAAAGGTAACTATGATCACTGTGTAATCTACAGTAATCATATTTAGATACAGTATTTGACTGAAACACATGCAAGCACCATTTTATATGATACTACCACCAACAAACAATAATTACAAAGGAGATAGGTTTAAAAAAATAAATAAAAAATATTTAAAACAACAGATAAAATAGTATATTTACATAAAATACAAAGGTAGTGTAGTAGTACGTTTAGTACTTGAGTTCCAAACAATTCAACATTCATAGCTTTACACTTGTATAAATATTTATCTAACTGATTGGAATTTGAAACAATTTTATAAATACCTTTGCTTCGCACATTACAGTACAAATTCTTATGAACGCCAAAACTTTAAAAAAGTTTAAAGAAGCGTGACTAATATGAGTGTATTACCTTTTCCTTATCGGTTAGAGAATTCCAAATATTTTCATATGCGTTTTTGGCTTCAGCAATATCTTCATGAATTTTTGCAGCTAACGGATTCATCGAACGAAAATATTCCTCCGCAACGGCGCTCAACGCCATTTTGGACACTAAATATTTATCGGTTTTTGATAATTATCTAATTTTAATTACTGTCATAATTTACAATATTCAATAAAATATAGAAATAAATATGCAGAACAGACATCCACCCAGACCTATTTCCGGGCACGTCAAATGTCATTCAAGAAAAAGTCAAAACACTCATAAATAAAAAAAATATATATTCTCTCTGGTCAAAACATTTTTATTAAGATTTTTGGCTTGGATGCTTGTTTTTTAAGTCGTGATTATTTATTTTATCTCGGTATCAAGTTTTTTTTTTTTTTTTTTTTTTTTTTTTTTTTTTTTTTTTTTTTATAGAAATAGGGTGACAAACGAGCACACAGTCCACCTGATGGTAAGTGGTTGCTGTGGCCCATAGACATCTACATTTATCAAAATGCAGATGCGTTGTCAGCCTTGAGGACTAAGATGAAATGCCTCTTTTCCAGTAAAAAGGGTCTCCGGTTCTCTACACTCACCATACGAAACACAGCAGCATGAAGCTGCTATTTTACGCTGGTATTCTGTGAGAGCGTGGTCCTTCCCCGGTCGAGCCGACCCATTCGTGCTACAACTACACTACTAATATAGCTGCAGCATGGCTCTACCACGTATATATATAAGTGATAATAATCCTTTAATACACTTCTTCACAATATGAACTTTTATATATCAAAAACCACTTCAAACATATTTAAACAATAATACAAAAGCAGCCGTGGTAGCTTAAGGGCTAAGCGCTCGTTATAAATTTCACGGTACGCGAGCAACCCGGGCTTGATGCCCGCCGGCACCTGCATTTTGATTCGCAAACGAGGATAGATGTAGATGTCTATGGGCCATAGCAACCACTTACCATCAGGTGGACTGTGTGCTCGTTTGTCACCCTATCATATATAAAAAAATGCATTGAGGAATCCCGGCGAACATTTCCTTGCCCTAAAACAGTAAGCAGCCCCGCTTGATAAATATTCATCTATTGCCACAATTACTACTTCCACCAATAACTTCATTGATGCACCATAAGTCGTAAGCGCGACTATGATCTTGTAGTCACGTGTTCACGTCCAGATTCGGGCTCAAATTAATTTTTAGATTCTTCTGTCAAAAATTCACAGAAGCATCCTGGAGTCAGGAAGTTGGTGGTGTTACACCCCCGTGACTCGGAAAGCACGTAAAACTGTTGGGCCTGCATCTAATCTTTCTCCGGTCGTAGTGCAAGTAGTTTTGTTGTACGCATATGACCGCGTGGACTTATACTTTGACAGAAGGGAACAACTGCGTATGGCTACTTCCCTCCGATCCATCAGTGGCTCGTGTAGCTCTATGTGTATCAGTATCTATGTAGTACTTCTTATTATAGTTTTTTTTTTCCCTACTTTGGCAACTTCCAATGGATTCTGTCAGCGTCAAGTATTTCATGAGAGTCACACAGAGTATTTACTAGTTTCCGTTACCGTAGATGCGCTTACTAAGCTTTATGTTACTAACTTACTTATGTAGTTATTTTCGAATGAATTAACATTATAATATTTTTACAAAATTATTGCTAATATAATAATATAGATATAGGTAAATTGTAAAGGTACTATAGTTTAATGTTATTAATGGATATGAAGTCTAACAAAGTTTGTACAAAAGGAGTGTAAACTAAATTTAACAAAGACTTAAGATTTACATAACGAGAGATGTTATTAGGAAGAAAATCGTATAATGAAACGGAGAGGTTAGGGCAGTTAAAAAATTTATGATCGATCGTACCTTCGTCTAATCCACACTCACAAATTGAGCTATCTTTAATCTTAAATTTTGCCAAAAATACAGGTGAACACGTGTGTCCCAATCTAATTCTACGTATGACAGATGTGCTATGTTTGGAGCCATTTCTAAATTTAAAAAACCATGGTTTGGAAGGGATGTCAGGTTGGAATTCTGCATAATATTTACCGATAGACTTCTGAGTTTTTTCCAAAGAGAGTTCCAATTTGACATCTGATGGATTTTCGCAAGAGAAATAAGGTCATGAGTATATGTTATATGATGCATGAGGGTACCAGAAGTAGATGCTTGCTTTGCTAAGGAATGGACAATTTCGTTGTCACGTATGCCACTATGACTTGGCAGCCAAGCAAGTTTCAGGTTTGGTAGAGCCATGCTGCAGCTATATTATGGTTGTAGCACGAATGGGTCGGCTCGACCGGGGAAGGACCACGCTCTCACAGAATAGCAGCGTAAAATAGCAGCTTAATGCTGCTGTGTTTCGTATGGTGAGTGTAGAGAACCGGAGACCCTTTTTACTAGAAAAGAGGCATTCCATCTTAGTCCGCACGGGTGACAACGCATCTGCATTTTGATTCTTAATCGAAGATAGATGTAGATGTCTATGGGCCACAGCAACCACTTACCATCAGGTGGACTGTGTGCTCGTTTGTCACCCTTATCCTATAAAAAAGGGTTAAGACCTTGACAAAAACACCTATACAGTGCATCTTTTATTTCAAAAATAATTGGGAATTTCGATTTACTTCGAAACGGGTTAAATGAAATGCTTTGCAATGAACTATATGAGTCAGTAAAAACAATACATTTGTTAATATTATGCGCTTCTATAAATAAAATTGCTTCTAAAATAGCAACCGCTTCACCAGTGAAAATTGAAGTAGCATTTGAATTTTTAAAATTTAAATGCTACTTCAATTTTCACTAATCCAGACAGCTGAACCTACAAAACTATTATCGGAGAGTTTAGAGGAATCAGTAAAAAACATTGAGGGTCATTTTGGGCTAGTAAAAAAATGAGCAATAATAAATTTATCAACAAAAGAGTGTACATACTAAGTCTTAATCATCATCATCAGAATCAGTCACTGGATCAATCTTCGAGATTAATTATTAATTCCTGATCACACAAATAATCAAAGCGAACATCACTTTGCCAATCTTCTGTGATAATTCTTCGCGTTTTGTCGACCACCTTCTTCCAATCATTTGTTGTTACATGTTCACATGCATTGTTCAGCAACTTTAACATTTTATTTGTCGTGAACGGTGGGGTTGTGTTGTGTCTTGCTCTTGCTACATGACCTAAAACGAAAACAATATGTTTTTTTTAAAATTAGTAATGCTCTAATTAACGAACTTCATTTAAATATTAACATAGTCAATAATAACGGTATGTCCCTTTTCTTTTGACATCTCATCCAAAACATATAATGGCGTTTGGAGCTTGTATATTCCCACTAAACCCAAAAGATCTTTTTTCGAAATAGTGCCGTCGGCTTGTACTCCATTGGTTTGCAACCACGAAATTATTTCATTCTCCCGGTTATTCGCTGTCGGAGGCTTACTTTTTGCATATTGCCAATTAGGGATACGCGCGCTCTATAGCTTGATTATGTATACTCTAACCAGAGCCAGACCAGATAACCACAGATAACTTACACAAGCACACACTTATCCTTGCTTGTAAATCAGATAAAAGGCATTATAAAGCTATAATGTCTATGGTTTTAACACCACAAAATTTTTTACTGGACTGGACGGCCCTTGATTGAATGTCAAAATGCAAAATGGCTAACGCAAACAGTGTTTATACACTGATGTTACCGCGAAATGTGTAGTTATAACGTTATTTAAGTGTTAGTGTGTGTTTAAATAATCATGTTGCACAACAGTGGTCCTTTTGGACCTAACGATGTGCCAATCAACATGGGCGCGCCAGTAAACATGACCCCGATGAGTGGAGCGGTGAACATTACAAATAATATTAGCAATTTGGCGAAAATGGCTCAGCAACCTCCAGAAATGTCTAGCGCGCATTATCCCGTCCCAACTTATCCTACTTACGGGCATCCACATTTGAACATGAACACTGGTGTAAATCCATTTCCAAACTATCCACCTATTGGATACCATCAATCGAACTACATCCCACAAAATCCCTCATCAGTTCACGATACAAATTGGCACAATGGTATGCTACCAATGAATTTAAATACACAAAGCGACGATAGTGCTACACTGAATTATTCGTCACCTGCAAATAAAAGACCTGAAACAATCAATGATTATAGGGAACACACTTTTCAGAGTAAACTACCTATGAATGTATCCCAGGTACCTACTAAAGCATTCCATAAGCATCTCAATATGGAAAATAATCATTACAACTACCAGCATTATACTCCTAGTCAAAGCAGTTTCAGACATTATACTGATTATAATCTTGATTTGAGCACAAAATCTAAATCAGAAATGGACCCGAGGCGTAAGAGCTTAGAGACAACTGTTAAATTAATTGAGAATATTCTTAGTAACACTACTAAAAAGAGTGACAACCAACTGTGTAGAGACAGTGACAGTGATTTTCATGTCAATTCTAAACAAGCTACTCCAATACAATCCTGTTCAAATGAGGAAGAGGATCCTCTAAGTACTGATTCTGGAAAGTTACCAGAGGAGAGTCAAGTCAATAATGTGGATGTGGACAGTCAAAGTAGTGGTTCCAAAGAAGAAGTTGACACTGAAAATTTGAAAGAAGATAATAACACCACAGAATCCTTGACCCAAAATGAAGGTATAAAATTAGAATCGGACAACGCTGTAGATTCCTTTGTTCAGAATTCAGATGATGAACCATCAGAGTATGAAAGTGATGTTCAACCAGAAGATCTTACAGCTAATGCAGGGAAAGAGATAATGAACTTAGATCCTGATATTGAAATAAAAGTGGAATCTACAAGTTGGGTAGATACGGAATCCTTTAATCCATTTCAAAGGGATGTTAATGGCATGCCAATTGAAGATGCTACTAATGTTAATATAATACATGGTGATAGAAGTGTTGAGGAAGCTAAAGAATCTATTAAGAATGGTATTGTTCCTTTTTATTATAATTAAATTGTCTTCATCATCATCATCATTACAGCCCTTCACAAGTCCAGTGCTGAACATAGGCCTTCCCTGAAGAATGCCACAAAACATGGTCCTGAGACACT